ATGTGACGAAGAGACCAAAGGGAGGCCGTACACAGGTATTAGTATAGTGTTCCTAATAAAGTGCTTGTTGAGTGTATACAAAATAAACTATTGAAGAAGGAACAGGAAGAAAAATATCAAATTGACATGACAATGGCTTGACATTCCGTCAGCTTCTTATTATGCAGTTTATTTTGTTATTTATAGCCACTAGTCTTTTTTATGATACATGTAGATGCTCAGAGTTCATGAAGTTACAATGATATTGTTTTTGTCTGAAAAATCAAATCAAATCCCAAACCAGCAGAGATCCATACATCACACTCACCCCAGCTCGCCCTGCGCCAGGCACAGTGGACCAGAAGAAGCCTCTCCAATCCTGATCCTCGAAGATGTAGGGCAGGATGCGGGTGAGGATACGGGTGCAATTTAAAACCACCTGCTTCTCCCTCTCGCTGGGGCAGCCTGACTCAGCCGCCTGCACCAGCTTCTCCACCGCCTGAGGGATGTCATGCAGGCAGTGAGTAGTTAAAGCGATTAAAACTGAAAAATTAACAATTTTATCAGATGATCAGTTTTGTATTGCAGAATGCTTATATGCACCAATTAGCATTGTGCAATTAATCTCACATAGACTTGCTTGTGTGATTTCTGATACTGTATAACATACTGTTATCTATGAAAATGGACAAAAGACTGAATAAGGTCCAGGCTTCAGGTTGGCTGCTACTGCTGTTTTTAGCTAAACAATACATATGTGTCTATTTTTATAGAAAACACTACGTTATACAGTGTCAGAAACCACACAAGCAAGTCTGTATGACATTATAAACACAGCAAACATGTCTTGACTGACAGGCTACATTTAGGGTAAGGAATAAAGTATGCAAATTTGATTTTTCACTATTGCTTTAATCATTGAGCACTGTATGAGCACATAAACACATACGCATGTAAACACAGACATAAACACAGAACAGGTGTTGTGGGCAAAAACTAAGCCCAGTATTATACTAGTTAATATACTAGTTAATTTGCAAATGTTCTGTGCATACAGCATGTGCCATATCAAAGCAATAAAAAGCAACTTCAGCAATTTGTTATGGGTGTAAGAGGTCATATATTATATCTATATATATACACACACACACACACACACTTGTACAGAAATACTGCATCCTTAAACCCAAGAAGATTTTACAGTAGTAACAAAAACAAAATACATGAAGGCTGTTGTCAATGAGAATGAGAATATCACAGAATTTTGACCCTGGGAAAATATCAGGTGAGTGCAGTGAAAATCGTCCAGGAGAATAAGGAGTGTTGGTAAATGTAGCTGACCCAAGATCGATTTCACCTCACTGAGCTACAGAAAAAAGACCAATGAAAGACGAATGAAAGAGGCTATTCATATCCATATGGACATATGGACAAGGGAGTTGATCCTAAATCATACTGGGATACTTGATAACTATGGGCCCAGTAATGATTCTTCTGGACCTCTGCTAAGCGAATGTGAGATTCTGAGGTGTTTATTTTACTTTTTTGCTGCTGATATGGAACTTCAAAAGGAAGCAGAAGGCTGGAGACAGGAAGGGAAGCACACAGACTGCTTTCCTGCCCCTGCATGGTGTGGGCACTTCATTCACCCAAACAACCACTGCCTCTGCCTTTAACGTCAAATCACTGAGCACCATGTAATCAATGACCAACTGGTGGGATTTTGTTTAGCTTAGAATGTACCTACCTTGTAACAGAGCGTTGCCAGATTGGAGGGGGACTCCTCCCTCACTGCTCGGATCTCCGCAGCCGGCACAAGGGCGAACACATCCTGCACTGTGGTGGAAGTGTCGGCCCAGAACTGGTCCCAGAAGGCATCATCTGTAGCTTCCACTGGCTGTGAGGAAGGAGTTTCATTGAGTGAAATATCCCTTACACTGGTCATTTAAGCACCCTGGTTACAACAGCAAATACAAACACTAGGTCTGCCATAATTATTACATAATCATCTAATCACAAATATTTGAGATGATTGCAATTATTTAACCTGACTGTAATAGTTATTCACAGTCATTACATTTCATAATTAAATTATGATGTAACAGGCAAAATGTGAATCGGGTGCATTGGGTTGAGGTAAATAAGTGTAAGTAAAAGAAAGCAGTGTGTTCAAAAAAGAGACAGCATGGGACTTATGAGTTCCACCTTCTAACTTGATGCTTAGAAGGCAGTGCTGAGTAAGGTTTATTTGTTAACTATGTAGCTAATTCTAACATTTTGCTCATAATTTTCACTCTCAAGAAAAAAATGTAGTGTGAGTGTGAGTGTGTGTGTGCACAACAGTGTCATTTGGTGTTAGCTGCTAATAAACATAGCTAGGAAGGATGGATATAATCAGGTAGTTTGGCCAATGGCCCTAACCTTTATACTTTAATAGTGGCACGATAAATAATAGGCGAATAAAAAGAAATAAATTGATCATTAATTACAAATATTTATAGTACTATTTACCTTAACTGTCAGCTAAAACATCATGATCATAACATCCATAACAAATACTCCAGTAAATCTGCCACAGTGCCTTTTGGCATGGTTTTGGAAGAAACATGCACCTGAAATTAATAACCATAATTCAAAGGTGTAAAGGGCAAGACCATTTTAAGCATATACACAAGTAACTTACTGCTGTGACGTCAAAGGCAATCTCATTCAAGGAACAACTAAAGCAATATAAAAATATTCATGTAAAAATACCGTTTATCATTTTGCTGGTCAACAAGCTGTTTATTCAGTTTTATGCTGTTGGCCCAATGTAATAACTGGACTGGACTAAGCATTCGTCACCTTAATTGCACTCAAATAAAACCCCATGAAATTAAACTTCAAAAGCACATACACTACAAATACAACACGACAGCCTCGTAGTTAAATAAGTAAAGGTGCCATACTAAACGTACATAATGTTACAGTCGTAGACAACAGTGCTCACTGAGTCTTGCCCATACCGGACAGCTTGTTTAACAGATATGAGTATCGTGTGAAGCTGAAATCTCGCGTCATCATTAGACTAACAGACAGCTGGCTCTGTTTGACTCGATGAGCGTCAAACCTGATTCTGTTTTCAACACGTTATCGACTGGTAGGCAGAAATAAAAGCAGGATCTTATATACGACTCCTCGCTCAATGAAAAACAGGAAACCGAAAATTATAGGCGACCAAATTGCGGGGAAATAATGAACAGCCCATTACGTCAATGAAGCTCACAATGTGCTCTCAGAGATTGGAGGCAATTAGAAATCGGACACTGAGGCATTTCACTCTCACAGCCAGTCACTGCTCCTGAGAAAATAACCACCAAGTCGACGAAAGAAAAGCCTAACCCGCTGGGCAGGTGCAGGGCTGTGTGTGGTAGAGAAATGTAACGCGATAAAGCTTGAAAAAACTAAATTTCCTGTCGAGTGTTAAAATGATTTGTTATGGAATGAGATATTGGGTCGTCTGCGCGTTCACATCTCTTCACATCCTTGATGTTGCAGAGATCTGCCATCTGATTCTCTGCACCGTCGCAGTTCATTAAGTCTCCATCTGGAACCGACTGAGCGGCTGAAACGACAACAAAGTCGAAATAAATCACCCACCTGAGTCTTCGTGGTCAGCTGGATCACCGCTTTCCTGAATTTCAGCTTCGAGTCCGTGTTCCCCATGTTTTACTGTGTGTAGATTTTATTCCTAAGGTGACACGGCTCTAATCCCCCTCTCCCCTCCTCCTCATCCTCCTCCTCCTCCTCCCGCTGCTGCTGCTGCTCTGCTTGTGTCATCAGCGGAGGCGGTGATGCAGCCAAGCTGGAAACTTCCGGGTTCCTCGCGCTCCACGCTGTTGCTAAGAGCTACAGTGGACAGGAGTTAACTTTAAAACCTCACCTTCACAAAAACACACTTTCACTCAATAATGCACTTCAATAATATAATACTATCACGGTATTATATTATTATTTCAATATCATTTGATTCCATGTGATATCTCGATTCAATTTTTCATTTTCAGTTTGTTAGAGCAATAATTATACAATATTTGAAACAAAGATTTAACAAAAGTGCTTTATTGTGCCGCATACACGTACTCACACATGTATATGTATGTAACAAATAAATGAATGAAAAAGATTTTTTGTCAAACTGACCACTTGTTTAAATAAAGACAGAAAATAGCTTATTTATGATTAAAAACTATTGTTAATGCACGAACATTTCTACGGCTCTGTTGAAGTACATTTGCATTCGTTTTTACATTGCATGATTTTGTTTTGAAACAGTAGGCTACTTTAGGCCAGTTTGTGTTAAAGTGTTAAAATAACGCATCAGATAAAAAAGACAGCTGAACACGTAAACTGTGTACAAACTTTCTATTATTTCTCTAGATTATGTTTTTGCTTTTAAATTACATTGCAATTGCTCACTTGCTAGCTAAGCTGGTTAGTTCAGGTCCATAAAGTAAAAATCCTCCCCAGAATTTTGTTCCAACTGTGGACCTTCTCTGTTAAGCTCAAACAAGCAGCAGAGGTATCCAGACAGTTGAAATAAAATCCTGGGGAGGGGTTTTACTTTCTGGACCTGAATTACCCACCTTTGCTTCCTAGCGCCCACGACCCAGAAGGATAAGCGGCTTAGAAAGTGTGCGTGTGTGTGTGTGCGTGCGTGTGTGTGCGCGCTTCCTAGGCTATGTGCTTTGGGTGAAATGTTGAGTATTTACCCTCTATGTGTACCGTAGATATGGGCCAGATTTAGTGAAAACGTTGTAAAATTTTATTAACCAAAATGTTACCAATAAGCACTTTGGATTTTAATCCAAGAAAACATACATGTTATGACTACATATTAGAGGTTTAGGGGGAAACATGGTTGCCCTTCAGGCCACAAACACAATTTCAGCAAAAATGCACATTTCCAGCGAACTCGGGCTTCACCTGGACACCGGAAATGTCGCAACCATCAAACTGTGACGTACTCCGTTAGCTGTGGTTCCGCGCATGCGCATTACAATGTAAATAATAGCAATAGCTGGTAGCCGCTAGTAATTAGCCGGGGGCTGCTAAATAAGACGCTGCGTAACTATTAAAAGACTGTAGCAAAGTTAAAGGTGAAACGTCAGCGACAAGAGACGAATGATTAGCGTCACTGCGGCGTGAATCCACGTCTTATACCTCAGGTTCACAACTTCCGAGGACTAGCTAGCTAGCAGGCTAACCCTGAATGTAGCTGGGCAGGATGACAGTTAAATGAGCTGTCCGTTCTGAGAGCTTTACAGTCTGATACGCTGCATAAATGTCAAGGGTGGCCTTTATACTACTGTTCACATTTTTCATGATAAACAAAAGGTAAACAGGAATGTAGCTAAGTAGTCTTAGGGCCTTCTTGCTGGATGACTCGTAAGTTTGGTGCAGCTAATCTGGCTAACTGTTAGCTGGTTTAGTCTTGTTTGCTGAAGTGACGTTTGGGTTTTTTGTTCTTTGAGAAGCAGCTGCAGCTAAACAGGCAGGGTTTTGAATCCAGTTTAACTGCTAGAATTAACCCCAGTGCGTAGAGCATAGGACATCGTTTTAGCCACTGTGCAGCTATGTCAGCTATGTTATCCGAAAACAGGTGAGTTGTTTTTGCTTGTAGACCTATGTTCGCGTCAGTACTCTGCTCTCTTTATAGCAGACCGATATACAGTCTATAACACGACACTGACGTGTCATAACGAGTCGTGACCATGACTGCATTTATTTGTTCTGTGTAGCTCGATATAGCTTTATTATGCTGACCGTGTCTTAACATGTGTATCCGGCTGTACTTGTAGGAAACGTCAGCGTACTCAAGGCGATGATGCGGACGCACAGCTTATGCCTCAGGCCAAACGATTAAGCACAACACACAAGTCCTCCGAAATCAGCCAAGAAGCATGGGAGTCTGAGGTAAGAGAATCAGACAAAAAGGCCTACAGTGTTTTGAAACAGCTTGCCATGTCATATTTCCACCAACATTCGTACAGCTGAAGAACTGATAAATGTACAGGCCTAGTTCACAGTGAACATTTTGAGATAGGGTTGTCACTATTGATAATATTAGTCACTGAGTACTTGACTGATTATTTTGACATTATATTGAGTAACTAAAGGCCAAACAATTAAATTGGACCTGAATGAATGCTGATAAGCCATGCGTAGCCTTTCAAAGATTACAAAATGTTTTACTGGGGAAAAACAAAAATATTTAAAAATACTTTCCTGTAAAATTTACATATGAAAACCCAGTGTGGCAAAAGGATCAGGATCCGTTTGATACTGTAGGTGAATTTAAAACATGTCATCATTGTACATATTGCTAACTAATCATTTCTGCTTCAGCAAAAGGGGATTTGTAATCAGTTATTTGTTTTAAATCAAAGAATCAAGTTTAATCTTCTGTACCAAACTCATATTGGTAAACACCAATATAAATGTTACAGATTCATCACTAAATGGTGTACAGCAGACCTTTTTGACTACTCGTGAAGCTGTCCATTTAAAATAATGTTTGAAAGTAACATGCCCACCTGCCTTAACAATTATTGAAACGCTGATGCTGCAAGTGTGAATGATGTGTGATTTTGCTCAATGTTCAGTCCTCCAGCAGCGACAGCAGTGGGGTCAGTAGTCCTGAGCATGTGGCCGGGAGCAGCAGCAGTGCCAGCAGTCAGTATGGAGCCGACAACCTGGCAACCCTCGCTGGCCTTGGGCCCTGTAGTCCTCTCAGCTCCTCAGACCAAACTGGCCCCAGCAGCTCGTACCACCATATCAACCGCGTCCTGAGGGAGGCCCACTTCCACAGCTTGCAGAACAGAGGACAGTCCAGGGACAGGTGATTTTGTTTTCAGGGACATTTCTCTCATCTGTGGTGCATGAAAACGATGACACCTTTGCTCTGCTGAAAGCCTGATCACGTTCCCCAGAAGACAGGGTAAAGATTAAAGGTTAAAGCTTCATCAGCTCCATTGCCATTCAAGTCTGCTCTTACTTTCTAGATCTTTTCCACATGCTATAGCTCTCATTTGTGTTGGTGTGCTTTTGAATAGAACGTGTGACCTGGAACTGTAAACCCATTGACTAATTAGAGCACAAAAGTGTTCATACTGTAAGCAATAATAGCTTGGCTGCGATGCAACCTTTTGTGACATTCACACTGTGTACTTTTCCTCTGAACAGACCAGTTTACATATAAATGAGAGCTTTGCTTTGTGAATAACTCCATTTAGGGTGGAACTGCACTTGGAGCATATTATAATTTTATTATTATTTTGATGTCAGGATTTGGTGTGTGAGCTCAGTTGATAGTTTATCTGTGCACTTGAGGTGGGGGTGGGGTGAAGAGGGTCCCCAGCCAATCATATAAATTCACAATGCGACATCAAGGGCATCGTCTAGAAATCTATTGTTTATTTATTGAACCCCATTGCTGTATCGGCACTTGATGTATGTTCTTATATAGTATAAATGTGTATATGATTAAGGGCAAGGTGCTTACTTCTATGCGATGAAACAGCCAACCTGCTACGTGTTGCTCTTACTTGAATGCACTGATATGTGTTCAGGTTTCCTCACCCCATCCCTTACTTTCTGTAGTTGTTTTTCCAATGCAGCCGGCCATGCGGACCCTCTGGAAGGTTGCTGCTTGAATTTGCATTTTAAAGATTGTTGATTATTTTTTATTATACCTTTTTGTATGGAAAGATGCATTACATTTTACATTCAGATCGCATACATTTTAAAAATAAAGATGGCTGTTCATAAGTATGAGTACACTTTGTTTAATTTTTCAATATTTGTGAATAATTCAATCGCTGAGATGTAAACAAAGTCACTCAAAATGGTTTGATGTGAAATAGTTCATTGTAGATTAATTTACTGACTCTGATTTCTTCACAGTGGCGGTGATAGGAACCAGGTATCACAATGTCTACAACCATTTTATTTATTATCCAAAATGACCTGTGAACCTACACATGTTTGAGTTCTTATATGTTCTGTTGATAAATGAAAATGGTGGTAAATCTGAACATATGTGTGTCCGTTGGGTACTGCTTTGCCTTGTATGTACCTCTGTGACATGAATGGATGAATAAGTTTTAGGCCAACATTGTTTTTCAAAACTACTGTAAAGCAATACCGTTAATGTCAAGGGTAATAACTTTCTGTAGTTTTTAGGGACATTAAAGGCTTGGATGTCTTGTTCCTATTACCTTCAAAGGTGAACAATTCTGTGTATTTCTCTAGAACAGAGCACTTCACATCAGATCGCTCTGAAAGATTTTGTTTTTAATGATTAATTGTGCAAAAAATGTGAAAAATTAGTGGAATTCTCCTTTAAGTGGTGAACCTGATTCAGTGTGCAGACTATTAACATTATTCCTGTTTAATTCTTTCCTTATCTTCCAATGCATTAGGGTTTGTTCTCTTTCTATTCAGTGGGAGAATGGAGAATCCCTCTTTAATCTCAGTCACCACTTGTGATGAACAACTGCTTGTGTGCCGGCTTGGGCCTTAATGAGAGATGGCCTGTTCTTCAAGGAGGAGTGGGAAAAGGTCACTTTAATTAGAGCGCTACATGTCCTTGTCTTGTCACGTCGCACGCCCATAACAGATTACGCATATTAATACTCCTCCGGTAAGCACAGCTCCTCTTCAGTCCGTGTCCTCATTACTGGCTCCTTTAAAAGCCCCAGCCCTCCTCCTGAGGAGGATATGTATGATAGATGTGTCCATATTGACCCAGGGTCTGTTTCTTCAGGGTAATGATGGAGGCCCCATTTTGTGTTCTCAAATTTGCAAAGACACCTTGTATATGGAGTCTTGTAGAATTTTCACGACATACATTCTTGTTCAGCCCTGTGGTCATTAACTTCATCTCATTTTGAAGACATTTCTTGTTAGTGTTGCTTTGTTTCTTGCCTTTAGCCTTGGTAGTTTACTAAGCTGTGGACTGTAACGAATCACGTTTACTCAGTTACATTTACTTTCTTTAGTATTTTCAAATCATAATGCTTTTACTCAGAGTTTTGTGGGGAAACTAGGCTGTACTAAATGCACTACACATTTTAATCATTAACATTTAGTTAGTACAGTAGTAGAGTAGAGCATCCGTACTGCTATGCGTTGGTCACACCTATGACTTGTGAGGTCTGTCTTTTTATTTTGGACGAAGTGTGCATCGAAAAGAGAGAAATGGTATCTTACAAACTGTAGTTTCCTTGCTAAAAGATGACGGAGTAACTACGAATGAGTAAAAGTAGTTAAATATAAGTAGTTTTTGGCCTGGTACTTGTTGTAATGAAATGGCTTTGTAGCCTCTTTTGTCACCTTCTCTCTTATTGGTATTGTATTTCCTTCTTGTCCTTGATGATTATTTTTTTTGTTGGGTTTGCTGCCCAAAATAAAATGTTTGTTAAAGGGCCCTTTTCATTGAAACCCAAATGACATTTTTGGCATATGAGATTGATGTAGTGTGTAAACAGTTTAAATGCAACACTATGTAGGATTATTGCTATATGTTTATTTAAAGCTTAAATCATCACCCTGGTTTTAATACCAACTGCCATAGCAACAGTTCAGTGAGACTCAGCAGCTGCTGAAACACCTACACTGATGCTGCTGTGTCAATTAGCCAGAAACAGTCTTTTAAAAAGCTGCATATTTCTTTGTTGCAAGGAAATATTAAAGAATAAAATGGCTATAGGTACCAGTTTTGTTCAATTCAACCTGTAGACAAAAGGCCTCATTCACCAGCCATTCTTAAAAAGAAATTTCTTCTTAAAACCCACTTACGTAGTTTTCACAAAGATTCTGACATTCACCAATGCTTTCTTATTTGGGATTTGTTCTTAGGTCAGAACAGAATATACGCACACTCAAGAGCACAAAGGTGCAAACAGTTCTTAAAACTGCGCTTTAAGAACACATCATATATCTGATGTAGACTTTTTCTTAAGAACAAATAAAAAAAAAAAAAACTTAGGAAGATATTGGAAAATGAAGCCTAATGTTCTCTTCAATCCGTTTTTTTTTTTCTGAGGAAAAAGTCAGAACACAGTGCCATTGTGTTTACATGGTAGCGGGTTTATAGATCGATTCTGAACATGTATTCATCATGTTAAAGCAACATACACCATAGGTGGTTGTTTCGAGTTAGTTGTTACTACTAAGACATGACATAAGGATTAGGTGCAACTGAATTTAGTAAAAGGTGAATTTGAAACTAGTGTTAACTAGGGGCTTAGGAAAGAAAACAGCTATTTTTGTGATGTCGTGAAACAGCAAGGCCAGGTGAGCGAGGACATGTTGACTCCAATTTTTTTAAATGATGTAAACAAAGTCGTTCAGGGTGGTTTGACATAAAACGCTCCATTCTAGAGTAACGTACTGAGTCAGAATTGTTCACAGTGGTGGTGATGGGAACCAGATGTTCACTTCTAACAGCTCCCTCACAGAAAGTTGTTTCTGATTGTGAATGATTATAAATATACTGCCTGATGTCTAAGACATTGTTTTCTCATAGTTTTATGATAGAGTTAGGGCCAGAAAGGTCTTGTGAACCCATTTATTGTAATCAAATCATGGTGGAGGGGTACATTCAGGGCGTTGTGAGGCAAAATAGTCCCCCTAAAATTAATTTTTCAAATTTACCACTATTTTACGATAATAAACATTATGCACATATAGGTTTAATGGTGGTTTTGGATAGTAAATAAAATGGCTATATTGATGTTGTAGACATTGTGACCTCTGGTTCCTTTCACCAACACTGTAAAGAAATCTGAGTCTGTATCCTTCTCTACAATCAACCATATCAGGTCAAATCACTCTGAATGACTGTTTACATCACAAAGAGTGAAATATTCTGAAATTTTCTGGAAATCTGTGGAATTCCCCTTTAAAACCGGTACTGTAACAGGTGGCTGATATCAAATGACCTACTGGCTGGTACATTTCCATGGCCTGGTGGTTGGGAACCTCTGCTGTAGGCTAGTCTGCTAATCTGGTATCTTATCTCACACATTAGCAACTTAATTTGTTTCAGCCAAATGCAATATTCCACTTTACAAAATGAAACCGGTAGTCACTTAATTTTACCTAAAAAGTACACCGTGCACTTCCCAGTAGATCTCTTTAGAAACTACCCATACAAAACCCAGTGGAACAGTTTTCGACCCCTTGTCTTAACAAATTCCTTGTGAGGAGACATAGCCTACACCAATGAAAACAAGTGATGCATTCTGTTGAGGCTCAGGCTTTTGTGTTTAAACACTAATTGGTTTAGACATGCAATAAAAGACTGATGTCCAGAGGCTTGGATAAATGTTGTAAAACAACTAATTACATTCATACTATAATGGCCCTCATTCATGGAGGAAATGGTAGTATATTAGGGAAGAGGAAGAAGATAGCACAAGGGTTGACATGTTAAAGGAGAGATGCAAAGGAAAAGGCCATTTTAGGACACTGATGCATGTCCAAAATGGTCCCCTAATCACTATGCCTTACATTTGAAAATCTAAATCGCTATAAACTCTCAGGAAAAAAGGTAGTAACCTGTGACTGGGGCAGTACTCCTCTTGTCACTGGGGTGGTACTCTCAAGGGTAGATCTCAGTGCCTTTAGTCAGGGAACATAACTGTACCATAAAACATTGAAATTATATTTTCTAAGCTGTATTGACTCCACAAACCCGTCTCGTCTCCAGGCTTTTTATTTTATTGCTCTGTTTCAAAACATTAGGTTATGAAAAAGTACAAATATGTACTTTCCACCTGGGAAAAACTTACTTAAGGTTGGACCTTAAAACCACTGCTGTACCTTTGAGGGAACATTTACATTGTTTGTATCTTGATGAACAAGAAACCTGTGCAGTACCTTTGTTTCTACCGATGTATAGAACACTATTATAGGGAACGGAATTCGTGATAGTAGTAAACTAATTCTGACACTAATGTTACACTGGTTTTCTCATTGCTTACAAACAAAGCAGTGCATTATTGGTATCCCCTGTCTGCTAGGGTACATTGTCTGTACACTACTTATTGTGGTGCATTGTTAGATTGTTTTAGTGCTGCATATTCTGTGTTTTTGGACACCACTACAAAATGGCTGAACCCCAAAATAGGGCACAACCCTGCAAGAAAGACCAGCATTGCTGGCCATCAGCAAAAACCAACATATGTTGTGTTTTGGATGCTGGCATGCTGGTCAGCAGCAATGGAAGTTGATAAGCTGATCATCACCTAAACCAGCATATGTTGTGTTTTGCTGCTGGTATGCTGGTCAACCAGCATGACTATGCTAACCAGAACCAGACCAGCTTAGACCAGCATGAAATTTTGGTGGTCTGTGCTGTTTTTTTCAGCAGGGTATAAAATGAAAAGAGCACAGTTTCGCACTTGTTGTCTGCTAGCTTGATAAATCCAATTATGATGGTCATTGGTAAAAAATCTCCACTGATTCACAGATATCTATGAAATCTACTAATTAATTCTTTTTCTGTTTTTAACATCTACGATGCATTCATTCACATCTATGTTCAGAGTTTCCACATTCAAACCAGTAGGTGGCAGCACATACTTAATGTTTCCTGCCCCAGCTTTGCTCTTCACTGTTCTGAGTATTTTGAATGTGAAAATGATGCATTCTTAAGATCAATTTGGTATCATAAGCACTGAATAAGAACAGATATACGATCTGCGAAGTTCAGAGCAGTGAGTAATGTTAAGATAAATGCTTTAGAGGCAGTCTAATGATAC